CTGCACCCTCTCCAATCTGGGACCCCTGTGGGATTGAGCCTAAACCGGCAGTCCGACATCCCTCTCACAATCCAGGGCTGCTGGCTCCCAACCACTCACCTGCCTGCCAGCCCAATCAATCCCTAACCACTCCTCTGCCAGCTTGATTGACATCTAACTGCTCCCCTACTGGCCCAATCACTCCCAACTGCCCTCCCTTGCAGGCTTCGTCCCCCCACAACTGCCCTCCCCTGCCAGCCTGGCCACCCCTAACTCCCCTTCCCTGCCTGCTCCCCCCCCCCCAACTGCCCTCCGCTGCCAGCCTGGTTGCCCCCAACTACCGTCCCCTGCAGGCCTGGTCTCCCCCCAACTGCCCTCCCTCCCCTGTAAGTCTGGTCATCACCAACTGCCCTCCCCTGTTAGCCTGATAGCCCACAACTACCTTCCCCTGCTGGCCATCTTGTGGCGGTCATATTTGATCACATGAGGGCAGCCATCTTGTGTGAAGGCATGAGGGTCAATTTGCACAATACCTCTTTATTATATAGGATTTTCCAGGTGAAAATCCTGACCATCAGTGGGTAAACTGCTCAGGATCACAGAGCCTGAGACTCCAATTATGGCACAAGGACCTACCCCCCTCCACTTTCAGTCTTACTCCCCTCACATCCTGCCTCTCTGTGGCAGGTCTGTGACATCTCTGCCCCCTCATGACTCCCCAAAACTTGTCTCCATACAGCACACACATTTGACACTAGCTACAGGCCAACCAGTCAGTGTGATGGGACCTAGGACTTCAGAGGAGAATAAAACGGAACTTCCTGCATCGCTGACATGCACAGGGATTCGGAAGAGAGGAGCGAATTCCTCAGCACACGGTGGGAGAAGGCCCTTTAGTGATTGATCTTCCCTTCTCCCTCCCCTCCTCAGAGCCAAGGGCACAGCGAAGCCAGGTCACCGCGGGGCCCTGAGAGGAGGAAGCTGGCTCAGCACGCTGGTCTTGCTGTGGATGGGAAGGTAGGACATCCAAACTGCTCGTGGCAGGTGGTTGGGACATGTACCTCCCGATGCCTCCAGTCAGAACGGCCTCCTGCCTCAAAAGGTTCCCGCTACCCTCGTCCTGGCCACTGCAATCCCCGGTGAGAAGAGCAGAAAACCATGCTTTGGCATGAGACAGACCGAATGTGAACCCTGCTCTGGCAGCCACGAGCTGTCTGATTTTGAGCCAGCTGCTGATCTTCTCTGGGCTCCACCTTCTCTGTAAAACGAGACCTATTTTCACATCTACACGGCAGGAGAGCGGTGAAGAGTAAATAAAAGTAAACACTCATCAACATCATGGGCACGAAGTACACACTCAACGAACGGGTGGTTTCTGCCTCCCCTGGGGAGCTGCGATTCGAGGTCCCCTGGAAAAGACCCCAAATACTCTTTGTTTTTCATTTTTTTAAGTTTTTCAGAAAGGAAGCCCATAGAGCTTTTTATTTATTTTTTAAAAATATATTTTATTGACTTTTTACAGAGAGGAAGGGAGAGAGATAGAGAGCTTGAAACGTCGATGAGAGAGAAACATCCACCAGCTGCCTCCTGCACACCCCCCACCGGGGATGTGCCCGCAACCAAGGTACATGCCCTGGACCGGAATCAAACCCGGGACCCTTCAGTCTGCAGACCAACGCTCTATCCACTGAGCCAAACCGGTTTCGGCGCCAAATACTCTTACCTTAGTAATAACACAGGGTCATGATGACGCCCATGTGGCAAATGAGGACGTTAAATAGGTTCCTCTGTAAAAACAAATGGCCAAACTAGAATTTGCTCCCAGTTTTATCTGACGCCCATGTGGGTGACAGATGCTACACACTGTTGCCTCTGAAGCAGTTTCGTCTCTTTATCATTTTCTCTGCTGGCTTTGTCTTCTGATTCAGGAAATGTTTCCCCTGCCATTTTAATCCTTATTTTCCCCCTGCGATTCCCAGTTGGCTGAACACATGGTTAGGACTTGTTCTTGCTTCAAGAATAGTGTCTTTGTTTTTAGAGCAAAACATGCACAACATAAAATTGTGTTTCCCCCCCCCCCTAAAATACAGAAGAGTTTGCACTGAAACATAAGGCTCTCTCCCAAGCCCCACTTCTCCCTGCCTGGAAGCAGCTGCGGTTAGGTGCTTGTGGATCCTTCCAGAAAGAATCTTTGCATGGATAATGAGGACTCAGCTTTCCAGTGGGAATGGAGTCCTTTTCCTGGATCAGGCAAATGGAAAATGAGTGTCAGTGATACTGCAAATCAGTCACCTTCTGGGGGGAAGAGGGTCAGATGAGCCTGAATAAATACTTAAGATGAAGGATGATCAAACACCAATCAGTCTGGGATCAGAACTTCCAAGTCTGGGCTTCTGGACCCATGTCTCTCATGGAAAGATGCTCTTGCAACTAGATTCTGTATTTTAAAAAAAATATTGTGTGCTATCTAAAAATATTGTCCTGAGGAATCTTTACATACAGAGTAATAAACGGAGAAATATGGAACCTAGGAGTTATCATAAATTAATGATGTTCTCACAAAGGAGACTTAATAAATCAAACATACCACCCTAACCGGTTTGGCTCAGTGGATAGAGCATCAGCCTGAGGACTGAAAGGTCCCAGGTTCGATTCAGGTCAAGGGCATGTACCTTGGTTGCGTGGTCTTAGGAGACCCCTGTGAAAGGGGTCGAGACCCACAGGTTGAGAACCGCTGCTGTAGAGCCTAAGACCATTGTAAAACACAGTTACTTACATTACAATTCATTAACAGCAGCAAAATGACAGTTACGAAGTAACAACAAAAGCAATCTTATGGTTGGGGGTCACCACAACGTGAGGAACTGTGTTAAAGGGTTGCGGCGTTAGGAAGGCTGAGAACCACTGCTCTAGAGGATGTCAGTGGCCATCTTAGGAGAACCCTCACGCAACCCATGGAGAGGTCCATGCAGTGAGCAATGAAGCCTTCCTGCCACCAGCCAGTGCAGACGGAGGCCTCCCGCCCACACCCACGGGAGTGTCCCCGGGAGGCAGAATCACACCCCTTCCCACTGAGAACCAGGACTGTGAACGGTCTGGGGGTCCATGTGGCAGGAACCCTACCTGCCCCCCCCCCCCCCGGAGGTCACCTAGCAGAAAGGCATGAGGGCCGCAGACCTACCCCAGCAAGGCCTTGAATTTGCCAGCAACATGAGTGAGTTGGGAAGCAGATTTTTCCCACAGGGTCTCGGGGTGGGAACTCAGCCTGGCTGGGACCTGAGTTTTGGTCTTGATCCGGAAGATATAGTAAATGGTGTGGTTACAGCTGCAGAGTGTGTGGGGGTTGTTAGGCGGTGGCAGAGACCTCGGGCTCCGTGAGACCTGTCTATGTTGCTATAATAATTTCCTCCGCTCCTTTTCCCCCTGAAGCCACCTGAAATAGGTTTCTGTTATTTGCAACTCTAATGTCCTAAGTAAGACATGACCTCACAGGCCCATTGAATGGCACAATTGTATCGATCTGTATGTTTCGCTGTATGTGAATTCCACCTCAATTAAAAATAAAACAGGAAACAATTTCCGCACAGGGTTACAACACACTTATGGTTCTGCGTTAGTCAGGGATCTTTTGGATTCAAGCGATGGAAACTCCAACCGGGGTAAGTATTATACAAAAGGAATGTATAGGCCCATAGAAACATCTAGGTAAGGTCTGTGCTCTAGTTCTCTATTGCTCGATTTTCTCTTCCTTCCTTCCTTCCTTCCTTCCTTCCTTCCTTCCTTCCTTCCTTCCTTCCTTCCTTCCTTCCTTCCTTTTTTCCTCCCTTCCTTCCTTCCATTCAACTCACTGGATGCAGAGTGGTGAATGCAGACTGGTGAATGGCTGAAGAGAGGCCCAGATATGAAATGCTCTCACTAACAGCGTTGCTTTGTGACCATGGATACAGGCAAGTTTCAGGGCAGTTGGTGTCAGCTTGTCAACACTTGGTTGGTGATTGTGAGATTGAAGATTTGCATCTTGTCCCAGTGAGACCCCCTGGGGGCTCTGCCTTTGGGTTAGTTCCATGCTGAGAACATCCTCCGGGATCAGCAGAAGCCATGCCTAGGCTGCATCTCGGGCACCGTGATTCCAAAGTGTCCGCTCCCACGGTGGTGGGTCCTGATCTAAAACGTCCGGCCATTCAGCTCTGCAGAAAGGGGACACGTGCTGCCCGCAGCTGGCCTCTCCAGACCCTTCGTTGTGATGCAGACTCTGGCACCTTCTAAATATGACCTTACTTGAATGCGCTTGCTATATCTTAGCCTTTTCTGCAACACTGTCATGTTGGGTCCCCTCAGGTTTCTTTAGGAATCAAAGCCTCTCTACCTGCCACCCTCACTTCCAGGGGGAGCAACTGGTTCTATGGTAGCCCAGTGTCTGGCACAAAATATGCCTTCGTTGTAAATATTTGTTGAATGGTCCAGGCTAGAGCTGATGAGGAGTGAAGAGTGAGGACAGGGGTCCTACAATCCAGCTCCTTCTGCTCTCTCCTGAGCACACAGACTGCTCATCAACAGCTGCTCAGTAAACACTTCACAAATCTATACCAATAAAAGGGTGGCATGCTAATTAGACCGGGAGCGCTTCTGGACGTCCTTCTGGGAAAAGCCAGGATGGCAGGGCCAAGGCAGAGGTGGTTAGGGGCAATCAGGCCAGGAAGGAAGGGCAGTTGGTGATCAGGCCGGTGGGGGGGTGGGGATATTTGGGGGCCGATCAGGTTGTCAAGGGGGGTCAGTTGGGGGTAAGCAGGCTGGCAGGCAGAGTGGTTAGGGATGATCGGGGAGGCAGGCAGGTGAGCGGTTAGGAGCCAGCATTCCCAGATTGCTAGAGGGATGTCCGACTGCCAGTCTAGGCCTAATCCCTGTGGGGTCCTAGATTGGAGAGGGTGCAGCCCAGGCAGAGGGACACACTCTCCTGCTGCCCCCTGCCCCCTGCCCCCGTGCATGAATTTCATGCATAGGGCCACTAGTGAGTAAATAAATGAAAGGAAAAATAGGTGTTCTATTTACGTGGACTTGCCACAGAGTGAAAGAAAGGAAGGTCAGTGAGCTGGCACCATCAAGCGTGTTCTTCCTCCGGGCCTCCCGGACACACCTTTCTAAGGACCATTTCTCATGATCTTTTTAGAGAAGTTGTCCTGAAGTGAGAGCGTTCAACTGATTTTATTCTTGCAGACATTTCACCCAGGCGCCTTCGTCACCATCGCCCCCAGCGGCTCTCTGGCCTTTTTTGAACTGCCAAGAATGGTTTAAAAGCAGATTTTTTTGGTACTATTGAATAGTTGGTTTTTGTCAATCCTGCCTCTTTTAAAGTTGCACTTTCCAAAAATAGCCCATAAATTTGCTTCCCTCTAAAAACCTCTAAAGAGAAGAATTCTCTACACACACACACACACACACACACACACATATGTGTGTGTGTGTGTGTGTGTGTGTGTGTCTGTGTCTTTTGAAGTCCTGGATCTAGAGATATCTTAAAGTGCGAACATTTCTTTTTCTTTAAAAACAAAAAAATAATATATGCTTTTTTAAAAAATTTTGATTTTAGAGAGGAAGGGAGAGGGAGAGAGCGATAGAAACATCAATGATGAGAGAGAATCATAGACCGGCTGCCTCCTGCATGCCCCCTTCTGGGGATCAAGCCCGCAACCCAGGCATGTGCCCTTGATTGAAATCGAACCCAGGACCCTTCAGTCCACAGGCCGACACTCTATCCACTGAGCCAAACCAGCAGGGCCATTTCTTAAACTTCTCTCTATTTCTCTCCCTTAAACACCACTAGCACCTCAAATATGTGTAAGATCTCTCTTGGGTCCCATGTTATTTTTATTCAGTAGTCAAGAAACACCTTTTGTGCTTGAGATAGGCTTTAACAGAAGGGTCTATGAATAAGTACTCATTTAAATTTTTCTGCGTATTAATAAAAATGAACTCGATGGTTCACTGAAACCATTGGAAGGAAAAAAAAAAAAAAAGTGAAATTGCCCTTGGCTTTAGTACTTAAAAAATGAGCACCAGGTTTCTTAACCTGGCCCCTTCAAGGGGTTATACAGATAGCATCTATAATAATAAAGGTAGTAAAAATCAAAAAATGAACTAAGCCAGTGTGCCTCAGGCTTTGAGCATCAACCCGTGAACCAGGAGGTCAAGGTTCAATTCCCAGTCAAGGTACATGCATAGGTTGTGGGCTCGATTCCCAGTAGGGGGAGTGCCGGAGCCAGCCAATCAATGATTCTCTCTCATCATTGATGTTTCTCTCTCTCTCTCTTCGTCTCCCTAAAGTCAATAAAGACATATTTAAAGAAATAAAAAAGAACAAAGCAAAAAAAAAAAAAAGTTTATCTTGGGCAAAGAAATGTAAATTTTGGAAATGGGTTTGCCTGCTTTCTGGTAACTTTCTCACCATACATTTGTAGTCAAGAATGAAGCCTCTTTTGGAGAAACTGCTCTGAAGGTTTAGGGACCCATAGTTTTCTCACCCAAAAATTTTGCTTCTGTTGTATTTCCTGTGAGATAACAGCCTTACTTTTCATATCTAACCACACCTTTTCTGGGTCACGTTAATAACAAAGCATTTTTGGTTTTCAAGTATGTTTTTGGGGACTCTTTCACATGTAACTAGCAACCCACCCCCATCCCTCCCCCAAAGTAATTTATTGGCTCACCTCAAGTAGTTGGCTTCAGGCATAGCTTGATCCAGGAGCTCAAACATCATCAAGGCACACTCCCTTTTCCTTAAATAGGCCTTCTCTCATGGAGATCGTAATGATGACTGAGAGCCCAGACTTTCATTTTACCAGCTTAGCATCCTCAGGCGGGAGAGCATCTTTCCAAACCTCTTTGGCGGAAAAGGCTCAAGGAGGAATTTTTGAATGGCTCATGGGCCCAATTCTAAACCATCCATCATGTCAAGGGCATGGAATTCTCCGGGAGGTGGGTATGATCAAACCCACCCAAACTACACCGGGCAGGTTCTCCCACAGAGAAGAAGAATGCTGCTTCCAGAAGAGGGAAGGGATGTCAGGCCGACAAACAACACGCATTCCCCACACAAAGCCTTTCAGAGCGACGCAGTGGGGCAGAGAGGCAGCGGGAAGGCAGAAGTCAGGGATGGGACACCAACGGGACACACTCTTTTTTTTTTTTTTTGTCTTTTTTCTTTTCCCAATTTCCTCCTTTCCTCTTTCCTTCATCTCTTGCTGGAAACAGCAGCAGCAGCAGCAGGAGCTGTGACTGTAGACTTTCAACACCGCCTAGGAGGATTTTAATAGGGATACGACCAACGGAGGCTGGCCAGGCTTGCTGGGGACGCAATTTCGAGGGAGGGCTGAGTGAGGAGAAGGAGGGAGTTTGCCAGGTTACGTAGGAGAAGTGAAGGCAGCTCGGGTAAAGGAGATAGATGGCACCAGACTGCGGCGTCCTGGCAGGGAAGGCACATTTCATTCCACACAGGAACGGCCCCTGTGGCTGGGGCAGAGGCTGTGTGCGGGGGAGGGGGCTGGTGCTGAGAGAGCCGCAGAGCGGAACCTCGGGCCAGACTGCATAATGCCTTGCGCTTCGTGCCAAAAGGTTTGGACTTTGATCTGATCCCGAGGTGTTGGGGAACGGGGCAGGTCTTTAATCCTAGAGATCATTTTTAAAAATATTTTTATGATGCTATCTCTGACAGTTGAGGGGAAGGGGATTGGGCAAGGCTGCTGCTGGCAAGGGGCCCAGTGAGGAGGCAAAGGTGGGAGTCCCAGCAAGGAGTGGCAAGGACCCCTGAGGCAGTGGGAGAAGGGAGGGTGGGATGGTGGCAGGAGTGCGGGCAGCACCCAAGGGATTTGGTCCTGCCGCTGCTCCGGGAAGAACTGATCAGCAGAGGATGTGTATGGAGACAAGCGTTTGAAGCAAGGAGCTACTGCCCTCCCCTGGCAACTAATTAACACAGTGAATCATCCGTTAGGAGACGGGAAAGTGCACTGTATTCTCAGAACAGAGGATGCCTGGTGCCGGGAAACATGGCAGGAGGTACTCGTTGCATAAGGTGTAGCTTTTCATTCCCCTGACTGCCCAACAATGCTGATTAGGCTCCCGGTCTGTGCCCAAACCTGGGCTACATGCGGGGGCAAGACTGGAAAGGGAAACAGGCATGTGGCCGAAACAGGTCTGGCTCAGTGGATAGAGTCCCAGGTTCGATTCCAGTCAAGGGCATGTACCTTGGTTGTGGGCACATCCCCAGTGAGGTGTGTGCAGGAGGCAGCTGATCGATGTTTCTAACTCTCTATCCCTCTCCCTTCCTTTCTGTAAAAAATCAATAAAACATATTTTAAAAGAAAGAAAGAAAGAAAGAAAGAAAGGAAGGAAGGAAGGAAGGAAGGAAGGAAGGAAGGAAGGAAGGAAGAAAGAAAGAAAGAAAGAAAGAAAGAAAGAAAGAAAGAAAGAAAGAAAGAAAGAAACAGGCATGTGTACGAGGGGAATGGACAACAAACGAATGTCATTTCGTGGACATGTACAGTGTGGAGTGGATGGAGGCCATGGATTCTGGGTGCGATGAAAAGCAAGGCACAGAGTCGGACCTGCATTTCCACCACGTGCCCACCACCCAGATGTCATTGCTGACGTGTACACAGAAGGAACTGTTTGGCATTGAAACGGGGACTCAGAACCGTTGGACCTTGAAATTGGGACTCAGACATTTTTTGTTATTATATGTTTATTTCTAGTCTGCAGAGGTAAGATTTTTTTTAAAGGAGGAGGGAAGGTAGGGGAGGATGGGGGTAAGGGGTATAAAAATAAAAAAATAAAAACTATTTTTAAAGGAAAGAAATGGGGGCGGGGAATAGATACAGAGGCAAAGAAACATTGAACAGACTGTCAAACTACAGAGGCTGGGGAGGTTGTGGGTGGGGGGCTCTGTAAGAGATCAACTGAAGGACTTGTTTGCATGCATATAAGCATAACCAATGGATACAAGACACGGGCGGAGGGGCAGGTGAGGGCATGTACTGGGTAGTAGGGAAGGCGGGGGGGGGGGTCATGGGGGGGGAAGGAGACATATGTACCACTATTTGTAAGACTTCAAACAATTAAAAAAAAAAAAAAGGCACCGGGAGCCAAGAACTACCCACCCTCACCCCCACAAGGTGGGAGGTCGAGATGAGGCTGGGTTCCGAGTGGGACTGTTCACCTCCCCCTCCTCTGGGGAGGGCATGTTCTAGCCCAGCAGATGTTCAAACAACGCAAACTGTGTTACGGTACTAACCTTCATTTTGACTTCACAAATTACTCTTCCTCCCAAGTATCTTGCAGGTGTTTTGCTTTTTAAAGCTGGTGTCTTTTTTTTTTAATCCTCACCTGAGGATATTTTTCCATTGATTTTTAGAGAGAGTAGAAGAGAGCAGGAAAGACAGAGAGAAATATTGACATGAGGGAAACACACAGGGTCCAGGCTGGGGAGAAGCTTGCAACCGAGGAACGTGCCCTTGACCAGAATCGAGCCTGGGACCCTTTGGTCCACAGGCAGACACTGTATCCACAGAGCCAAACCTCCTCGGGCTTATTTTACTTTTTATTTTTTAAAATAACTTTTAAAATGTTTTTATTGATTTCAGAGAGAGGATAGGAGAGGGATAAAGGGGGATAAAAACATCAATGATGAGAGAGAATAATTGATCAGCTGCCTTCTGAATGCCCCCAACCTGGGCATGTGCCCTGACTAGGAATAAAATATGACCACCTTGTTCATGGGTTGTCACTCAATCACTGAGTCACACCAACTCGGCATCTTTCTTTCTTTCTTTTAAAATATATTTTATTGATTTTTTACAGAGAGGAAGGGAGAGGGATAGAGAGCTAGAAACATCGATGAGGGAGAAACATCAACCAGCTGCCTCCTGCACATCCCCTACTGGGAATGTGCCCACAACCAAGGTACATGCCCTTGACCAGAATCGAACCTGGGACCCTTTAGTCCGCAGGCAGACGCTCTATCTACTGAGCCAAACCGGTTTCAGCTTTCTTTCCTCTCTCTCTCTCTCTCTCTCTCTCTCTCTCTCTCTCTCTCTCTCTCTCTCTCTCTCTCTCTCTCTCTCTCTCCCTTCCTTCCTTCTTCCTTTCCTTTCCTTTCCTTTCCTTTATTTTCTTTTCTTCCTTCCTTTCTTTCTTTCTTTCCTCCTCCTCCTCCTCCTCCTCCTCCTCCTCCTCCTCCTCCTCCTTCTTCTTCTTCTGTAGAGAAGCAAGCAAGAATGTATTGACTACAGCAAAACTATTAATATATATACTTAGGACAGTGAAACAAGGAAGGGCATAGAAGAAAAACCAGGAGAGCCTAGGCTGGCTGTGTTGGCTCACTGGAAAGTCAGAGAAAGGGGGGCCTTGGAGACAGGTTCAGGGGGTTAACCAGAGACTAGCTACCACTGCCCATTGCTGCCCTGGTTGCAAGTCTCATGGGGTCCCTACATGCCTGTGGGGGAAGAAGGAGAAGGGAATGGCACCAGCATCCTCCCTGGAGGGAGAGTGCCTCTTTAATTTTTTTGTTTTTATTTTAAATATATTTTTATTGATATCAGAGAGGAAGGGAGAAAGAGAGAGAGAGAGAGAGAGAGAGAGAGAGAGAGAGAGAGATCAATGATAAGAGAGAATCATTGATTGACTGCCTGCTGCATGCCCCCCTCCAACACCCCCTTCGCCTCCCCAGGGATTGAGCCTGGAACCCAGGCACCTGCCCTGACCTGAATCGAACCATGACCTCCTGGTTCATAGGTTAATGATCAAACACTGAGCCACGCCCATCCGGCATCTCTTCCATTTTAAATGCACTCTGAGGAACAACACTGGCTGTACTTAACCTCGAGGCTTTATGACTGTAACTCATTTGGTATTTTAAAATGAACGCTGTGAGTCTTCACATCTGCTGATTGATGTATGCGAGGTCCCAGGGTAGATAGTTACAACAAAGGCTAAGGCTCCACTGGGTCAGGATTTCCTAGGTCCGACCACTTTGTGGACCCCTCCCACACTGGTATTTGGTGTGGCCACGTGATTTGCTCTGACCAATGGGACATTGGAAGACATAATGCAAGCAGAGAATTAAAAAGTGCTTGAGCTCTGTGCTTGCCTGCTCTTCCTCCAGAAAGTGACCTGTGAGGAAGCCTGAGCTAGCCTCGCCTATCTACATTAATCTACACTAATGAAAGAGTTACATGCTAATTGACCATACCTTCGAGATGCCCACCAGCCAATCAGGAGTGAGTATTCAAATTAACCCAACAAAGATGGTGGGTTAATTTGCATATGCAGGCACTGAGCAGCCAGGAGTGTCCTGCGCCACCCCAGCCGCTCCAGGCCTCTGGGCAGCATGGGAAAGTGGAAAGGCAGCTGTGGCCTGAGCCAAGGCAGTGCCAGAAGCCTGGGGAAGGAAGGCCCATTCTTGCATGAAGCTTCAGGCATCGGGCTCTAGTTAGAGGATAAGGAACAGAGATGGGATCCCAGCAGAGTCTCCTAGCCAATCTACAAACTGACTGTCACCACGTGAGTGACCCTAGACAAAATCAGAAGAAAACTCATCTAGCTGAGCTCAGCCCAAAGTACACCACCAAGGAAATTTTGAACAAACTAAAGGATTGTTGTTTTAAACACCTAACATTTAGAGCATTATTTTTTTATTTTATGGAGCAAAAGATCACTGACATGGCACAATCTTCAAACAGCCTAATTATTTTTTGCTTTGAAACAAGGAAACTTAGAGGCAGCAAAGATAAATGGCTCTTCTACAATCTCACCCTAGTGTGGGGGTAGATCCGAATTCTTACTTGCACCCTAGACTATAGGCCACTTCATCTCTGCCGCCTCCAGTATTTCTTAGAAATATCCAAACCTTGCCAACACCAGTTTGGCTCAGTGGATAGAGCATCGGTCTGAGGACTGAAAGGTCCCAGGTTTGATTCCGGTCAAGGGCATGTACATTGGTTGCGGGTACATCCCCAGAAGGGGGTGTGCAGGAGGCAGCTGGTCGATGTATCTCTCTCATCCATGATCAATGTTTCTAGCTCTCTATCCCTCTCCCTTCTTCTGTGAAAAATCAATAAAACATATTAAAAAAAAAAGATTAATCAAGTCCCCCAACATTGGAGTTCTCTTAGCTAAGAACCAAGATTACATAT